TAATAGCAGCCTGAAGTACTTTTTCTGTCAGGTAATGAACCACCCCAATCAACATCTGAAAAGGCTGTTATAGGTAATGTAGAGGAAACAATGTAGTTCAAACCATAGGAGAGAGTTCCTTTAACATATCTAAGAATCCTCTTAGTAGCCTGGAGATGAGAGACTCTGGGATTGCTCTAAAATCTTGCTACCAGTCCCACAGAGTACATAATATCTGGTCTTGAAACTGTGAGGTACAAGAGACTTCCAATGATAGACCTATAAAGTGTAGAAGGAATTGATTCTGTGGTACACTCAAGAGAGAGCTTGGTAGTAGGACATAAAGGAGTGGAAACAGGCTTGCAATCAGTCTTATTAAACTTTTTGAGCAGCTCAGATGCATATTTTTGTTGAGAAATGAAGATCCCTATAGAGTTTTGATGGATTTGAAAGCCTAGAAAGTATCTGAGAGGTCCCAAGAGTGACATTTCAAATCTAGTTTTCATTAAATTTGCAAACTCTGATGCTAAAGAGGTATCTAAACCATAGAACATAATGTCATCAACATAGATTTGAAGTATAAGAAACTGATCTTGCTGATTTTTGACATAAAAAGTGCTGTCAACTTTTCCTCTGTGAAAGCCTTGCTCAACCAAGAAGTGATGTAATTTTTCATACCAAGCTCTGGGAGCTTGTTTTAGACCATACAAAGCTTTGTTCAGTTTGAATACATAAGAAGGATGCTTGAGAACATTAAAACCCTTAGGTTATTCCAAATAAACCTCTTCTTTTAAGTCTCCATTCAAAAAGGCAGACTTCACATCCATTTGATAGACTTTGACTTGTTTGTGGCAAGCAAATGACAGGAGCATTATGATAGATTCCAACCTAACAACTGGTGCAAAAGTTTCATTATAATCAATTCCTGCTTGTTGAGAGTAACCTTTGCAGACTAGTCTTGCTTTATTTCTAATAACAGACCCTTTCTCATCCAACTTGTTCCTGTAAATCCACTTAGAACCAATGACATTTTTAGATGCAGGTCTAGGAATTAAAGTCCAAGTATCTTTTTTGTGAATCTGATCAAGTTCTTCTTACATAGCTGCTATCCAATCTGCACTTTTTTGAGCTTCATTGTAAGACTTTGGTTCAATGGAAGATAACATAGCAAAATGACTGTACTCTTCTCCATCTTCAGCTTCTAATTTAGTGAGCCTTTTCTTGTGTCTTTTTTGAACACCAGCCTGAGGTGATCTAATGATATTTTCAGCTTGGACCTGTTTCTGTAGAACTGGATAGATAGTTTCCCTTTGATTGTCAAAACCTGAAGAGGATTGACCAGCTTCATTTAACTCTTTAACTGAATGAGAGGGACTAGCTTCTGTTGATCCAGGTATTGAACAACTGTCATCATTGATGCTGGATTGATGATGAAAGAGTAACCCAAGAATATACCTTCATCAGCTTTAGAGTCAAATTTCCCTAGGTTATCTGTATGATTGAGAATAAAACAACTGCTGCCAAATACCTTAAAGTAATGAACTGTTACAGGCCTTCCATACCATAGTTCAAATGGAGTCTTAGTTGAATTAGGTCTAAGAAGCACCCTGTTGATGATATATACTGTAGTATTGACAGCTTCAGCCCAAAAACCTTTTGCAAGACCCTTTTCAAGCAACAAAGTTCTCCCCATTTCTTGCACAGTCCTGTTTTCCTTTCCACTACTCCATTCTATTGAAGAGTTGCAACAGCTAAAATTCTTTCTTGATACCCTTTACATCACAATAGCTTTCAAACTCTCTCATTGTAAATTCAGAGCCAAAATTAGACCTTAGTCTCTTTACAGTACAACCTCTTTCATTTTTAACCGGATTAACAAACTTAATAAAATGTGTAATAGCATTAGTTTTCTCTTTTAGAAAATAAACCCACACCATTCTACTGAAATCATCAATGAGTAGCATAAAATACTTACTTCCACTAATGCTTGTAGTTCTGGTAGCACCACAGAGATCCATATGAATCAAATCAAGAGCTCTGGAGGTGTTGATCTCTTTGGAAGGGAATGCTACTTTTGTTTGTTTTCCTTGTTGACAAGCTCTGTAGAGATGATTATCACTGAATTTTAGATCAGGTAAGCCTTTAACAACCTTCAGCTTTAGAATTTTGATTAGATTTCTTGAGTGAAGATGACTTAGTCTCTTATGCCACAATACAACTTTATCTAGATTGGTCAGGTTACATTGAGTGGCTTCTTCAGAGATTGTGTACACATTTCCAGAAGATCTACAAGCTGAGAATAAAACCTTTTTTGATTCAATGTCAACAATATTACATTTCTCTTTATCAAAACACACATTCTTCTCACTGTCACACAACTGACTTACACTTAGAAGATTATGTTTGAGGCCTTTAACAAGTAAAACCTCTTTGATCTCAGGCAATTCTTCAGATTTATTCACAGTCCCAATTCCAATTATCTTGGCCTTTTGGTTATCTCCAAAGATAACATTTCCTCCATCAAAGTTTTTCAGAGATACAAACTTGAAACCATCACCTACCATATGCCTTGAGCAGCTACTGTCAATATACCATTTGTCATTGGTGTTGTAGGCTTTGAAAGCTGTATATACCAACATACTCATTACATTCATTCTTTTAGGTATCCATATCATCTTGGACTTCACAAAAGATCCTTTATCTTTGACTCTCTGAACTTAAGCTAAGAAAGATTTCTTCATATACATCTTGGTGACTTTGAAATTTCTAATGGATGATGTGATAAATTCATTTTTATTCAACTTCAGATTGTTGTAAGTGTTGTTAAGTATATCATATTTTGATCTCATGGGTTTTATAATTGGAAATCTTGCATAAACCTCACCAAAGGAGGCCTTGACAAACACTGAATGGTTTTGTTTGAACTTGGTTACTATGTCACAAACATAACTAATACCAATCTTTCCAATTTGCTTAGTGGATTGCTTCCAAATTTCAGCCATCTTTAAAGATCTTTTTTCAAGAATCAGTGAGAGTTCTTCTCTGCACCTTTTAATAGACCATTGTGTGTTATACTAAGACTTCAGCAGGCTTGAGAAGACTAGAGTAACTGAACACAAAGTTGACAGCTTAAGCCTGAAATGGTTTATAAGAAGTTGTTTGGATTTTTATAGTTCTGAATTGAGTGTCTTTATCTGAGATTTCTGTTGATTGCACTTAATAGTAAGTCTTTCACAATCCTCAAGTATTTCTTCTATTTCTGAGTCACTGTCTTCTTTAACTTTTGATACAGCTTGTGAGGTTTCAAGAGTAGCCATGAATAAGCACTCATCTTCTTGTGGTTCTTCAGTTTTGTCTTCTTCAGGTATAGAGTTCCAATCAGAAATAAAAGCTTTCTTCCCAAAGTTTCTTTTACAGTTTCCTCCTTCATTCTTTTTCTGATGTTGCCCTTTGGAAGATGGACAATTCGAGACATAATGACCAGGCTTACCACAACCATAACAGGTTAGGTTTTGAGACTGATTTTAACTTCTTGAATTTCTTTGACAAATATGCCATTTCATCTTCTTCTAGATCATCTTCTTCAGACTTAGGTTCAGATTCCTGGTGGTTTAAGCCGCGGTTCACCAAAAAGTTTGCAAAGAGAAGAAATATGATGAGTGTGGCCAAGTTTTACATTTATAATTTGCCACTACTACCTTTCACTAAAAATATAGTTAGGGAAAGTAGGGATTGTCCCAAGGGATTGGTGGGTCATATTAGGTTGTGAAATTGAGATTAGGGTTAGTAGGTCGAGTGATCAAAAGATTGGTTGGTGATTGAATTATACTAAGATGCAATTTAAACTAAAGTAAATAATTAAATGCAATAGAGAGGAAATAAGAGAGAGAGATCTTGGGGTTTAGAGATCACCACTAAGCATAGCTTTTCTACACCCTTAATGAATGATTAATGAGGGGGAAAACATGTATTGCAACAATAGTGTGTGTGTGTGGTTGTTTCAACAAGTATGGATGACTAATTAAGTATATATTGTCTAAGCAACATAGTGGATAGCATAATATATCAAACTAAGTCATTAATCTTTTCTTTAAGCTCACAATCCAAACACATCACAAGGTTTGAGACATATGCTACTTGTTTTCATAAGTATGGAACATCAAACCATAAGCATGGATTGTCCTCCCATTTAACATCTAAACTACAACTATACTACAATTAAGTTAATGACATGAAATTAAACTAATTAAACTAAGGGAGAGGCACAATCCATTAAGAAATGAGTATAAACCATCAAATAAACCACAAGAGCATTCTATTAAGCACTATGTCTGGACAATCTCTAGATCTATAGCATTAATACACATAGACATGCATCAACAACACAAGAAATAGAGACAAACACATGAACATCTATTCTAGCATACATAGACATATGGGTAGAATGAAATGATTAATTGGAAGCATTAAACCACACAAATCATTGAATAAACAAGATCTATGTATATAAAAATGTTAAAACATATATCATAATACAAATCCCCTCAAAAATACATAAATCAAGATGTATAAAGTATGCTTAGGGCTAACTCTAGTCCCAAGAGGATGTCTAGCCACTCATGGATGGCGTCCTCCAACCCTCAAGGGCTAACTCCATGGTAGAGATTGCTCCTCTTCTTGGTTGATGGAAGAACTCCAAACTTGTGTCTCTAGTCTCCCCTCTTCGTTTCTTCCTCACTAAGAATATGATATATCAATTGTGTCAAAAGTCTATCTAGTATATGTATCAAGAATGGCATTCCTTATATTCCTTCCAATGATTGGATATAAGACAACTTTTAATGAGCTAAAAATTGAATTTTCTCACACTTGGGGAAGTTCGATCGATCGAACATTCTCTGATATCGATCGAACATGGCTGAGAACTATCGAACTTAAGCTGGATCGATCCTCTATTATCACGACCCCGAATTTTTTCTAAATAAAATTCTCGATTTCATTAAATCAAAATACTTCATAAAAGACACCTACGATCTCAAAAGAAATAAAATACCCTTTATTGATACAAAATCAATCAAATTTCCTCAAATAAATAAGACAGCATCTCAAATTAATTAAATTGATACTAAATCAATTTCCTCAAATGAATACATAAAAATCTCTATATAAAATAATTTAATTCCTCAATTCCTACTCTTCCACCTAATCCCGCAACTAGCAATCCAAGCTTATCCTCGGTACCTGAAACTGTAGGGGGGGAGACAGTAGGAAAAATCATAACAAGGATTTCAAAGAGTTTAATGATAAATTTGCTTCACAAATATATATATATATATATATATATATATATATATATATATATATGCTTTTAAACAAAATACATATATGCAATTTTAGCAAAATAACAATCAACAAAATATTTGAAATAAAATCATCCAAGCCATTCAAGGTATGATGATCCCTACTCTGTGAAAATAAACAAGTCATCAAATCCATCTCTGGGAGCTCTCGATTCAGTCTGTAAACTCTCGGCTCTCTTGTGCACTTCTCTATATCATTTACAATCAGTGTGCACAAGCACTCATTAAATAGGTAGTGCACCAACATAAACAAAATATCAAAACTGCTCACTTACTTCCACCGACACAATACAATAATATCTCACTTTTTATCTTACTTTCTTATCATTCATAGATCCTACAACAATTTCAATCTATCTAAAAACATCACCACGTGAAAATTTTCAAGGCCAAATACAATTAATCAAAAAAAATGAACCCCGCCACCCATTTCTTTCTTCCACCTTTATCTCATTACTTTACTTTCAATAGAATCACTTATCAAAAAAACTCATTAGCCAGCATAAAACAAGGCCACGTGACCAGCCAAGCAACATGGAATTTTGACCACAAAAATTCCTAGTGGACCCGTAACCAATTTTCCTTTCTTTTCTTCTTTTTTCCTTTTTCTCTTTTTCTTTTTCTTACTTTTTCTTCCTCCAATTTCGCTGCCAACACTTTGCTTCCTTCCTCTTAATCTTATCTTAATATATATATATATATATATATATATATATATATATATATATGAGCTATACCTCCTCAAAATCAAACACCATAAAAAAAAAAATTAAATCATAATTTAATCCTTTATCATTAATTTCGTCCATATGCTCCTTTATCATTAGTGTAACAAAATAAAATTAACTAATTAATCTTCAACAAAATTATATGGACAACAAAAATTAACCCATTAATCTTTTCATTGGGTAACTCACCAAGTCTCCAATCAAAATTAAATAATTAATGACCCAATTACTAATTGGTAAATCTTCAAAATAAAAAATTAAACAGTCAATCTTTGACAATTAAATCATGAAATAAATATAATTTCAACACTAAAAAATCCGGTTTGTTATATCTATGGTGGCGCCTTTTTGGATAAAGACAAATCTAAGATATTTTGGTATTTTTGGGAAAGAGACAAAAGTGGTAGGTGTGGTGGTACAACTGGATAAGATGGAATCTTTTCGATCGATCGGAAGAAAGTTGGATCGATCGAATATTTCCTGAGATCGATCGAACTTGTTGAATTTCCACCACTTGCTTCCTTTTGCTCCCACTTTGCTTCCTTCTTTGATTCATCTCAAGATTGCTTCAATTATGCTTTTATTTAGCTGAGTTAGCTTATTTATGGGCTAAGTACCTGAAAATGGAAATAATACGAAATCAGTCTAAAACGGGAAAGTAAGATAGATAAAGGTCCTAGAATCCTAAGCTTAAAGGGTTTAAATGCACACTTTTCAGCACTTATCACACTCCCAAACTTAAATATTGCTAGTCCCTAGCAATGAACTAGAAAGTAAAGGAATGAAATGAACAACTATACAAGTATGAACTAGAAAGCAATAAATGGATAATGCCACTTTCGTGGGAACACGATTACATTTAGCATATATAATAAGCCTTTTAAACACCTAGGTTACCCCTAGTGGACGAGTGAAGTCTCGTGAGGGTTTTCAGAAATGATACCCACAAACATTAAGCTCAATATCACAAAAGAGGTACCAATATTGCAAACAAGCATTGGGAGAAAACTACCTCAAGTATGTAATTTTTCAACCCTTTCCAAGCAATCTCCCAAAATTTCAACATCAAGCAAGCAAGTATGGTCCTCCACACATCAAGAAAATGATTTTGCAAATCAAAACAACTCTAGAATTCTTTTTGAGTGGACCGGCATCAAATATGTTGCTATCTAAGCCAACTAAAGAAATGATCACATCATTACCCTCAAACTAACACACAAATCTAGTACCGATCATCAAGACAAAAAGTGGACCTTTTATTAAAGCTTTATTCATCTAGGTGCGCTTATTCTTTTCACTCGATTTTTTTTTTTAATTTTTTTAATTTTTATTTATATATATATATATTTTATCCCTAAGGATCAAAGATGGAAGCATGGTGCAATGTTTTGATCTATCAAGCTTTCTAGCGATCCATGAGGTCGAGCGTTAGGTCAATAATTCCCAAAACAGACGGCTTTAGGGCACTAGGTGTTCAAACACCCCTAAGGACTTACAAGCTTAAATTAACTAGACTACAAATCAAGACAATCTCTATCTAATCATTTCCCACTTCTCACCTTTTGGGAGAAGTCCTCACTTTTATTTATTTAATTTTATTTTATTGCTTTTGCAACTTTTTTTTTTTTTTTTTTTTTTCATAGCATTCAATTAGTAACCTAGAGTTTGGGCCTTCCACCTTTTAGCGTGAGAAATTCAGTGCTTGATGAGGCTAGAATCCCGGCTACTCAATGAAAAGGGTTTGTTGATAAACGTCGAATATTGCATATTCAAGCGCCCTTATTTGCATTAGTTAAGTCCATTATTTGATTATTTTATATAGATTATCTTCATTTGCATGTTTTTATATATTTTCAGGTTTGTTTCCCAAAAAAGAATAAAAATGATGTTTTGATGAGTTCTTGAATATCAAAGTGTGCAATGCTGAAGTTTACAGCCTGGCAGCAGTGGAGTTCTACTTTGCTCGTCCATTTTGACCCAACAAATTTGAAAATTGGACTTCTATTAAAACATAGCATACTTAGAGCTTTGAATTATCTTTCCAAATCATCAAATGGTTCGTCATTTGGAGTTCGGAGGAAGGACTTATGGTCGTTTTACCAAAGGTGCACAGAGTTAAGGAACACCCGCAGGCGGGCGCCAAAAGGGGCAGAATGTTCGTGCATCCGCGGGCGCCTGCCATTCTGTGGACCAGCAGGCATGGGCCTCCATTTTCTTCACCAAATGTTATCCCCTTTTTTAGGGGATTGCTCTAATCTTGTCTAGGGCTTTTAGGACCATAAATTTGGAGTAGATAGAAGGCTAAGGTTGATATATTAGAGGGTGGTTACACTGTAAAAGATAGTTCTCTCATTTTTGTAAGGTTCTAGAGAGAAAAAGGAGTGTTCTTGAGTTCTTGGCTTGTGGGTGTCCTCTAAGCACGAAAATGGAGGGGGTTTTCATCTCTTCTCGTTTTTCTCTTGCATCCATGAGCAACTAACTCCCTATCCTAGGGAGGTGATGAAGCCATTCTTTGTAAGCATGCCATAATCTTGTTTTGATTTGGGGAATGAAGTGTTTATGTAATCTTTTCATATTCTAGAGACTTACATATGTTGTAAATGTTCTTCAATTCAATAAATGATTATGTTAAATGTATTATCTTGTCTTAGATTGTATGTTTTCACGATTATAGGGCTTACATCTCCTTAGTGAGAATGGAGATGAGAATATGAAATGGTTTTAGTGGCATGTTGTATGAAAGATTTGATAGTCCATAGCTTAGGGTCTCCTTTTTGATGGATTATTCTTAGCTTTTGACTTCATATGCACTTATCACACAAATTGAGGACTTTGATGGTTTATAGCTTAGGAAGGATATTTCATGCTATACCTTAGTTTAGATAGATGAATTATACCAACCTTTGATGGATTATACTTAATTCTTGAATGTGTGAACTTCTTGAAGATATGGTAGTTGTCTTGCATTCATACATATTATGGTTACATGTATATTTTGTCCCCTAAGTTATTTGCAAGCAAGCATGTTTACATAGTTGATGGTGAATTCACTTCCCTAGACCTCTCTTTCTAGATTTCTTCCTCTTAAATTCCTTGCATTTATTACTTTAAGCACATTTCAATTCTAGTGACTAAGTGACAAACCAACAATACTCTATATCCCACTTTCATCAAACTAAAAGTGATTTTAAACACCTTGATTGCCATAAGCTAGCAGTCCCAGTGGTTCAACCTACCCGACCAATAGCCCTATTTTACAATCATTTGTGCTATTACAAAATGGGTTGACTTATAATTGTAATCAATCCGTCGATCAATTTTTGGCGCCGTTGCCGGGGACTTGCACACGGTTTAGCAACCGAAGTTCTAGGGTTAATTTTGGTTGGATTGTCAATATTATGATTTGTGAATATTTCTTGTGCGGTTTTGACCATCTTGGTGTTGAAAGTTGTTTGTGAGATTCTAGGGACTTGATGCTTGCCGAGGGAATGCTAGCAAATTTGTAAGTCTAGAGGACTCTAGGTAAGTCTCTTGGCCTTTTAGTTTTGAAATTGTTAATATTGTGTATGTGTAAATTTGGTGATAGTTAAGTTGTGAAGCTCTTGTTGAGACTATTTTCTTGTTTATTTTCAATTACAAAGCATCGGTCCTTGTCGTGGCCATTTATTTTTCTGTCTTGTTGATAATTGAGGAGAAAGGGATTATTGCATTTGAATGTTTTGGTGAAGGGTTGTTGTGTATCTTGTTTGTGTTGTATATATGTTGTGTGAAATTTTTTTTATGTATCTTAACAAGAGGTTGAATTAGTCCTAAATGGAGTGTAATTTTCCTTCAACTCAATTTTACACACCACATGAGTTTTGTGCAGTTTACTCTAGTCATACCTATCATATAAGAGATTGTCCTCCACCGGGACAATTTTCAGATTTTTATCTAACGTAACCAAATGAAAATTTCTTTGAACCGGGTAATGATCCATATTTCAATGGTTATGACTCGGGTTAAGGAGATCATCAAAACTTCTTGTGGCATGACATAGGAAATTCAGCCTCACGATCTCATGGGCAACATTTTCACACCAATTTTTAACCCAATGATCATTATTTCCAGCCCTCTTCTCTTTTTCCACCATCTCAATTGGATAAGTTTATTGCTGCCAACAAACAAATGATGGAGTCTATCAGCATGCAAATGCTGGATTCCAACAAACAAATGTTGGATGACACTGTTAGCAAACAATCCACCACCTATTCTCATTCCCAATCTAGAGTTGAGTTAGATGACCAAATAGCCTAAATTCAACAAATGGTTAATGCTCTAAATCATGAAAAGGAAGAAGAATTTCCCATTGAACTTGTGGCCAATCTAAAAGAAAATTCTATGAATGATGAGATTACTCCTAGTAATTTTCATTATGAGAATGATCAAATGGTTACCACATGTGAAAATAAAGAAATGGTGGTTCAAAATGAGGAAAATAATGATGAAGAGATTGTCTCCCTTGAAAATCCAAAACAGCCCCTAAAAAATCCTTTGCTTGATACACCTCCTTCAATGGAGGATCCTCTAAAAGTTTGCTTGGCTCATTTCAATTGTGAGGATTTTGATGTTGACAATTCTATTTGGGAGGTAAATTCTTTACTTGATATTCTTTCCCCCATGCACTCTCTTCCTTGGGCGACATCAAATGTATCTCTTTCTTGGGAGCTTGCATCTCCTCCCATTCCCTATCTTGAGTTCTCTCAAACTATTGAGCCCGAACCACCGGATAAGTGTAAGGAGGATATTGTAAGTGTGAAGGATATTTTTCCAAAAATTCCCATGCCAAATCTAACCCTTCACCAGTCTTTGCTAGATATGCTCTCACTTGATCCACCTTCCTATAATCCAAATTAGCCTCATAATCCAAAGTTCTTCATTGAGGATGAAGAGTGGGTTGAGGTCTTTCCTTTACCTCCTTTCATTTTTTTTCTTCAAGCTCTTTTTCTTTCGCTTCTAAAAGAACTTT